TTAGTTTTCACAGTTAATATAATTGTAAGTAAGAGTGAAGGTAAAAGAGAGAGAGACACGCAAACTTTAACGAGGTTCGAAGGTGGGGTAATCCTTCTACGTCCTCAAAATCCACTATGTAGTTGGTTGTTGAATAATGAACCAACAATTACACTTATGTGAATTTCTGCACGGTATATCTTCGCAAGGCCAATGTTGCTACTGCACTCGTGCTGGCTTTGTTGTTCCTTCGAAGGTCACGCTTCTTCAACAACTACAACGTCCGAACAATAGGACTTGCAAGATCAACTTGTAAGAATGTTGACCTACCCCCTTTTAATCAAGAAGTTTGATCAAAAGTTGTATCCTTCAACGTGGTGTGGTACTTGAGGCAAGGAAACCTTCAAGTATTTACACTATAGCTCTTTGGAAGGAGGAGGAGGAGTTTGCTTCTGGATAAGGAGTTTAGAAATCTCTCTTTATCAAGCTTTTTGGGCTAACTGTGAATGAGATAGCTTAGAAGTTTTCTTTGTTGTGTTGTTGTATCAACGTATCTCATTGTCATATTTTCTCCAGTCTTCCAAGGATGCTATTTATAGCTGGATTGGATAATCTATCCGTTGAATCATAATGGACTATCCGTTGCATTTGCTGGCTTCAATTTTGAATGAAGATTGTGATTTGAAGATTCTTTGTTGAAGTGGGTGTTTGGACGTACCCAATTGTTGAGAAAGGATTCCTTTTTCCACAGAATCTGTCTTCTAGCTGTTGTTCAAGAATTCAAGACTGTAGCACTTTACTTTGTTTGTCTTCTAGTGCTTGTTTAGGAATTCTGGGCAGGCTCTTCAATTTAGAGGGCCAGACTTTGTCTTCGAGTAATTTGTTCTTGAATCAGCATAATTATCTTCAATCTAGCCGTTGAAAATCAAGAGATTGATTTTTCCTTACTAACGGGTAGAATTTCTTCATTCAGGACTTAGATAATTTTTCTAAGTATTTTCTCATTTGTCCGCTTTCTGAGAATTTCGGTCTTCAATGAGTCTTCCGATTCTTAGCTGACAGATCCGGAGGAGTCATTCTTCAGACTTCCGGGTGAGAAGGAGATCCGCGCTAGTCTTCCGATTTGAATGACTTAGCCTTCAGCGGGTTGTAGCGAGACATCCGGTACTTATGTAGTCTTCCGGATCAGAGGATTTTCATCTGATTGAGAAATCCTTACTTGTCTCTGACATTTCCGATCAAGATATCCAATTTCCATATCACCGAAAAAGATTAAGTCTTCAGGCATCAAAACGCTTAAAGGAATATCACAGCTTTTATTGGAAATCTCAAGAGCTCGGTTTTGACAATATTTCTAAAAAGAAAAATTACATTGAATAATGGGGGAGACCTAAAGTTCCTATTAGATTCTAAATACATCATCATCAAAATCTATAATATTTTTCCCAACATCATTATTAATTCTCTTCACATTACTCCTATTATCATTGCATTCAAACAACATCATTTTCCATAGCTTTCTAGAGCCAATTTGTGTGAAGTTTGAGTTGTTCTTGAGCGTACTTAGTTTACTCATCATCTACTCTTAAAGAGAGTCTTGTTCTTGAGTGTTTAAGTGTTGTATACACGTTAAGGGAAGCTTGTTTCCCTTGGTTGTATGAAGGAAAGGTATTTTCCTTCGGGTTGAAGTCTTGGAGTGCGGTATCTCCGAGCAAGTGTTGTTGAGGCTCGTGGGACTCGAGTTCTCAGGTTGTAACGGTTTGTTAAGCACCCGTAAGCTTAACGGAAGTAGTGTAGCTCGAGATAGTCTCTCGGGAGACTAGATTAGCCACACGTTGTGGTGAACCAGTATAAATCTTGGTGTGCTCCCTTTACGCTTTCTACGCTCTTTATTTTTCACGTTCTTAATTTTTTTTATTCCTGCGATTTCTATGATCAAACACTATTCACCCCCCCTCTAGCGTTGGTCACTTATTCTAACATAAACACATCCACAGCCTGATCTCTACGTTAAAAATATAGAGTGGCTGTTTCTGGATGATCCATGATGAGCGTTGAAAGTTGCATTGACTAACGACTGCTACCTCTGTCCCTAATTTGATTACAATATTCCCTCTCATTCTTGTCCCTAAAAGAATTACAAAGTTCCAATTTTAACATCATTTGGACCATTTTACCCTCTCTTTCATCTCACTATGTAATGATTTGACTCCTCCTTGAGTGGGGGTAATTTGAGGAAAATTTAATGATTTGACTTTTCTTTAATTTTCTCAGAAATGGAATATTGTAATATAAAAGAGGACAGAGAGAGTATTTTAGTATTAAAAGAAATACAAACAGTTTAAAGAGCCATTTTGATATATTCTATCGTATCCAAAACTAAAAAGGGAGAAAGACCAAAGTAGGACTAAAACATTGAAAATATACCAAAATAGGACTTCCATGTTTTTATTCCTGAAATAGGACTTACATTACCAAACATGGTCATATACATTACCAAGAAAGTATAGTAATTTGCACATGTACACTGCCACATTACCACAATGAAAAGTCACATTACCACAGTGCAAAGTCCTATTACGGGAAAAAAAAACATGAAAGTCCTATTTTGATACTTTTCTCTATGTTTTAGTCCTATTTAGGGTGATTTCTATACTAAAAAATAGTGAATCATTGACTCTATTGAGAAGAGAATGGAAATAAGGAAAAGAAAAAAACCAAAATGGAAAGACACTATCTCACAAATAAAAAGGGGTACCTAATTCAGAGGCTGCAAGACGAATGTAAATATCAACACCGATGTCTCCAGGAAACCTCTGAGTGTCGATCAATCTCTGGCTCCAGAACATACAACCAATGTTGGGGTCATATGCAAAAGCAATGCAAGAACAGTTTCCCAAGCATCTACTCCTGCACGCCTCCACGCCCCTAGACGGAAATTGTTCCGCAAAGTCTGGCACTTTCATGAACTGCAGCCTCAAGAACACATCCCCATCTCCCCCATCCCCACACCGCAATCTCCCCCGCCTCACGCACCCACTCGCCCAATTCCCACTCTCCCACTCACCTCTGTTCCTCGGCTCAAATCCTCTCAAGCATGAACAAATAGGCGAATCCTGAATGTTACAGCTGCCAAAAGGGCCACACGTCCCGTATATGTCGCACTGAGTTCTTGGAACCGAGGACGTAACGTCCCAAGTCCTCTGCTCCACATTCCAAAGCATCAGCTCCAGGGGCGGACCCACATAGGGTCACACGGGGTCAAGCGACCCCACGGAAATTTTAAATTTTTTTAGTATATATTTATATATATATATATATATATATATATATATATATATATATATATATATATATATATATATAATTTTTTTGTGTATACCTAGATTTAGTATATATTTTACAAAACGCTAAAAGATTTAACCTGCTAGTGCTGTAGGAGTGGAAATATATGTGGTTTTCATTCGGGTGGATGGTCCTGTGGTCAAATCTAGCTTTAGGGAGACTATACATTTGATATTTTGGAAGATGGATATCTAAAACTGGGTCGTTTTGTTTCTTTTTTTTTCAATTTTCTCTAAAACCTATAGTTCCAATCCACCCATCCCACTTCGGCACTTTCCCGGACCTAATTGCAAAATCAGAAGTTGAGACTGACTCATCCTCTCTCGCCCACGGCCGACTACAAACCTCCGCCAGACCACCGACCGCCGCTTGGAAGTTGGAATCGATGAGGACCCCCAAGGCCCTAATTTCTCGAACAAATCTTCTCTTTGCCAGGTTTTTTCTTACACAATTGATACTAATTATCTAAATTGGATATTTCTTTTTTATTTGTAAATTGTGAAAATTTTAATTAATTGTTATAAATTTGTTATTGTGAATAGCAAAATAGGAAATTAAATTCATTTATTTATTTTGTAAGATTGTGATTTGTGAATATGTTAATATAATTTGGTTATGTACTTATGGTCTTATGTACTTATATTTTAAGTTTATAATGTTTTTAATTATTTAAATTTCAATATAGGATGCAAAAATATTTTAAAAAGGCACCAATATTTAAAGAGAAAGAATCGAGTGAGAATCTATCAAATTTAAACGCAAATGCTTTGTCATGTTTAAATCATCCACCGGAAACATCAAATTTGAATCCAAATATATCATCATCTTTGGATTTTGAATCATTAGAGGCTGATCCGGGACTAAGAAAGATAATTTTAGATTATCATCCAAATGTAGAAGATGAAATTCGTTGTTCTTATATGAAAAAGGGTCCTTTCCTACCTAAAGCTCATAAGTTTCTTGTTATAGTAATGTGAGATTATGAAGTTGTGAAGTTTGTGAAGAATGAAGTTCGAAACAAAATTCGTGACCAATGGTTAAATGATTGTCTAGTGACATATATTAAAAGAGATGTCTTTGCTAGTATTAGCAATGATAAAATAATAAATCACTTTCAAAATATGATAACTAGACGTTATCAATTGTAAGATGTATTTCACATTTGCAATGTAGAACTATTTTTAATTAGTATTTTCAGTAATATATACGTAGTATAAACTTTAATGTATATGTATTACTCCCTCCGTCCTAAAACTTTCTTCTCAGAGCACTATTCTAACTTCACGAGAATTTATATTTATTTGTGTTTTTTCATGGCCTATATGATAAAATAAAATATTCTTGTCACCACTTGTTTTGTTGAACTTTTGATGTAGTTTTTAAATATGTATGTTTTATTTTTTATTTCTATACCAATATTTAAATAAAATAGATTGAAAAAATTTGAAATTTTTCTTCATTTTGCGCAACGGGAAGAAAGATATAGGACGAAGGGAGTATAAATTTTCTGGGTGCAACCCCATGGTATAAATGTTCTGGGTCTGCGCCCCTGATCAGCTCCAGTCTTCCGTCATAGTTGAGTCTGATTCGCTTCAAATACTTCCCCGGAGCGATGGTGAAGTAGAACACTCCGGCGCCATCGCTCCCCACGCGGAATTGAGAGATATAGGGAGAGTACATGTCCTGGTCTCCGATAAGAATCTGCCCATTCCAAGGGCCGCTCCTCCAGTAAGGGCGGCCATTCCGCCGCCAGGTGATAATTTGTGGCATGGTCAAAGCTTCAAACGTCGTCGCAAAGCCTCCTACACCAGGATCTGTCGAATTCCTCCACGACCAGAGAACGGTCTTCCTGCCTGAATTAATGTTGTTTATTATCCTCATCGTTGGCAAGAATCCATCTGTGGGGTGAGAAAACGAATCCCATATGTGATCTTTCCGGTCAAGGGATCGCGTAGAACGAGATTCCCAGAGTCCTGAATTCGGGCAGTGGGGGTTGAATTATTCCTCGGTGCCACGTGGGTGGACCAAACCGTTTGGTTTTCCCTGTTGAGAAGGACGAGGCTTCCGTCTCTGGCTACAGACTCGGTGGCGCCCGAGCCTCTCAGGGGCCTGTCCCTGTTAGCGATCCATACTGGAGTGGACTCAGAAAAGGAGTAAAAGATGGCCAAGTAACGGTTGGTTGTGTTTCTGGGCGAAAAGAACCCCAATTTGAAAACACGTCCCGTGGATTCGATGGCATCCGGGTCTCTAAGAGATAAGCTGGAACTCAAAGTGTCTGTTTCTAGACTAAATCCTAGAAATGTAAGGCACATAAGAATGAAAATGGATGAAAGGATTAAACATTGCATTGGTTTTGGCCTTTTGGGATCCATCATCATCATAGATGTATATATGTAGGGGTACTTTCAGTGACTAGGAGTACGTACGAGGTAGCATTGAAATTAAATGCAGAGATATTTAATTGAGGGAAGTCCAAACCCAGTATTTAAAGTATCACTTATTATAGAAAGAGAAGGTCAACCAAGTCGCCAAATAAGGCCAATATGATCCTGATATTTTTCTAGCTATGAGTTGGTGGATATAGTTGTGTTGACTCCAAGAAGCTGACATTTACTACTTACTCTATTCTTGGCTGATGGCCCCTTGACCAAAGACTTGCCGAACTTTTCTAATTTTTCACAGTATTATTTTCATTATCTCCAATTCCATCACCTCACAAACTGATCACACGTTTTCTTTCTTGCCTTCGCCGCAGCTAGTGTTCTTTTGCCAATTCTGTTGGGTCTGCTTCTATAGAATTACAGAGATGTGTTGGTACATGTTGGTACACATTGATAATGTTCATGTCAAGAAATTCAAAATTTCAGATGTGTGGGGAAGAAGACTACTAACCTTAAGTGTCCTCTCGCAAGTCACAATAAACATGACCATTTCGATTTCCTGTCAGCTTTCTCTATGGATGAACTTACGTCAATTACATGCGATAAGAACAAAGTGAAAGTGATTGTACCAGAACGTAACGCTTATCGAATCTCCAAAGCAAACGAGCGAATCAGATGTGATTTATGTGAATCTTGAGTAGTGGGACTATGCCAAATACCTATTTGAGAATAAAGTGTCAAATACTCCTTTCGTCCCATTTTAAATTGTCTTTTTGCCTTTTTTCTCCGTCCCAAAATAAGTTGCCTGTTAGTTGTTTTCGTAAACTTTTAAAAATAAAATACCTAAACTACCCCTAAAATAAGTCACACTTCACTACAAGAAAAAAGACTATTAATTACGAATCAATTATGACGGGTTGATAATACTCTCATTAAATGTGTTATTTGTACATTTTTAATGAGGGAAAAAAACTTAAAAGATGTTACTTTTAGTGACCAATTTTTTTCATTCTTTTTGTTTTAAAGTTATTACTCTCATTATATATTTATATATTTCTAAATTGGCCAAACTAAAATATATTTTAAAAAATGAAATTGTTTACAACTCCTTAAAAAACACAGCGGCAATCACAATTGGGATTGCCGCCTAACTTCCCTTTTCGCCTAAAAAATACAGCGGCAATCCAATTTGGTGAAAATTTCTCCTCAGATTCACAATCTCTTGCCGCTGCCGCCTGCGTACAAGCTCTCCCTCAGCCACTCCTCAGACGACCAGCGGTATTCGACCAGAGACCTTCCCTGCTGTTTCTAGGGATTCGACGAGAGGAACAAGAGCTCCGTCTGCCACTCGTTTCCCTGTCTTTTGCTTACTCAATTCCAGACAATTTTCTTTCCCGAATTAGGTTATAATGTTTAATTTTTTACCTAGTATGATGATTTTGGTTAATTTCCCCATGAGGGTTTGAGCATCTAATTGCCTTTCTGATTCAATGATCCTGATGGGGAATAACCCCACACCAGTCTAGGGCTGACATCAGCATAAATTTCCAAAGGATCGGGCTTGGACGTTTCTGCCCAGCCCTGCGCTCCGCTCGTCTTTCCTGCCCGGCTCTGCGCTCCGCTCGTCCTTCCTGCTCGGCCGACCAAGCCGAGCCCGAGCCCCACGACAATGACATGCGGAAAGCGACGTTCAACGGAGGCTTGAGGAAAGCGATAGGATGAAAGGGACAAGACGTGCAGAAAACGACGTTCAACGAAGACTTGGTGAAAGCGATAGGATGAAAGGGACAAGACCTAAGGACAGGTGACGTCCGCTAAACGACGGGCCTCGATCAGAGGGCTTTGACTTAGTATATTGTACCCCCTATAAAAGGGGTGGCACCCCTCATTGTAATGGA